CATGCCCTTCATCGGAATCCCAGTACATGTTTCGGATACAGAGCCAGGATCGCCACGTCGCAGCGTGAATGGCAGTTATCCAATCCATGGCTAGTTAGCTAGACTGTGCTCCGGGGGCTGGAGTCTGCGTACGCCTACACGTTAGAGAAATACTTTTGATGACTCGTCTGCCTGCCACTGTCTTCCTCGAACTTTAGCTTTGGCATGGCGTCGTTGCAGGGTTAAATTATTGGTCCAAATCAGTCCAGCCAAACCCGCCACACTTCATAAAGCCCAGTCCGTCTACGTTCTCGAGAAAGTCCAAATGATCAGAATCTCAAGATCGCCCGGGAGCATTCTAGCTTATTTTATGGCCACTGACAGAGGCACATAGCTTGAGTGTACCCCGGTCATTATTATCCCTCACTAGCTTGAAGCCTTAGGGCCTTCCACTCGACATTGATTGAAAACCACGATCACTGCCAACTCTCATACTGTCGACAAACCAAGTTGAGCGCGTTCATCAACCATGCTTCAGAGTGACAGGTCCGGCGTTTCGACTTTAGCCGCGATTATTTAACCAGACACAACGTATCGACTGTGAGTGTGCCAACAACGTAATGAGCTAGACAGTGAATCAAGCAAGATCCTTATAGACTCTTCAAATCCCTATCTGGGTTATCTGTAAATGGATGGTGTACAACAATTTAATAAATATGTTGCTTAGCTATTTAGTCAAAGTGACATGACGACGTCGTGTTCACTTGCGAGAACCGAGTTTCGAGGAATCTATAGGTTGCGTTCGTAGACTACTCCTGAGTCAGGATTATTGTCGCAGGCCAGTCCCTTCTCATAAAAGAGAGACTAACGGATGACTAGAGACAAACGATTCCAACCTTTTATACGGTATGCATTCTATGTTATAAACCTATCTGAATTCCTAGTTGTGGGTGAAGGTCTTACTGGTCCTAACAGGCTCAACAGGCATCGTGATTTGGGCCGCAGGCATGTTTGCATCTAAATACAACTGGGAGGCGGTTCCTCGGGGACGACCAAGAACTCAATCGAATTGTGACTTTTCTTGATCAATTGTCTAAGTAGTTTTTGCTTTCTTTATGGATTCTAAGCAGCCATTATCTGGCCAGGATGGCTTGGTTATAGTCAAGTGTGCAGGTGAGCGGTGGCTATGAGACCGCTTGGAATTAGCCTTGACCAGCCCACGGAACCAGCCACACTTCACCCTGACCTCGTAAAATTCACTATCACCACATGTCGAAACGCAGCAGTATTGATGAGGATTACGAGCCAAATAAACGTCGTAGAAGCACGAGGGAAGAGGAAACATTAGATGAACGTGCCCTAACCTTCGCTTCCGCGGAATCAAAAGACATATTATATAAAATTCAAGAGCTGCTACGAAAGATTAATGGAAAGCTCCCAGATGAGCATGCTGTTGACTCGACGTGGGTTCTCAGCATGCTCACAAAACTCATGACTCAAGCTAAATCGTTTGAGGAAGCGGAACCTTGCATCAATGAAATCACGGAATATTTTAAAGAGCATGAGGATCTTTACTGGGATAATGGCAAGTCCCCTATGATAAGTAATCTCAGTATGTAGGCCTTCTGCTCCAAGTCAATCGCGCTCACAATCTCTCTAGAACTAGCGAAAATAGCATGGAGAACGATCCCGCTCACCAGAGAAAATCTTCTTATGGAAGTAAAAGGTAATAGTAGCTCCACGCTGTTCATGCTTTTCATCGTTAACATGGTCTTAGCCTTTACCAAGGCGGTGTTCGTGAAACCGAGTCCATCCTCATTCTCCAAAAGATCCGGATGGTCAATCTCCCAAGAACGTCCTGGAGCTATCCTCTGTCTTCGCCCTCGACATAGGCAAGGACTGCCAATCATACTCTATCACCCCGCATTCCTGGCCTTTCAACGAATTCTCCGTAAAGACCTTCCGACCTCTCAGGAGGCCACACAGGCTATGCGTGTCTCTTGGGAGCTATGTGAAGAAATGGGGAATGCGTTTTCGGAAGAGGACGCCCGGAGTGCAAAGTTCGACGAGATTATGGCCGGAATGTTTGATGGGATCGACAGAAAAGAGGAGACCTTCAAGTCACTAACATCACATGCCCGAGTAGATAGAGTCTACCATCTTCAAGATACAATCGTCATAGTCCGCGAGGACAAGAACGAGTTCGAAACCGGAGATGCATTTCTTTACTGCGTATATATGATGAGCTAGGCGAATCACTCTGCCGTTCACTTCATCCATATCGGCAAGCATCGATAAAGGTGGAGAAAGCGGCTCCACGATCGTCATTCCATGGTCATAAAACCCTCCAGAAATAGTGAGAATAGGACCTGTAGTTGAAATTAGCCCCATACATTTTATCGATCAGAAACGAACCATTCAAGGCCAAAAGAAAGACCGGAAGTCCGGACTGAAGTGCTTTAGGATTGCTTTGCTGCATCGCTTCGCAGATGATATCATATGATCGTGCAGATTGTAGAAATGCATCTCCGGTTTCGAACTCGTTCTTGTCCTCGCGGACTATGACGATTGTATCTTGAAGATGGTAGACTCTATCTACTCGGGCATGTGATGTTAGTGACTTGAAGGTCTCCTCTTTTCTGTCGATCCCATCAAACATTCCGGCCATAATCTCGTCGAACTTTGCACTCCGGGCGTCCTCTTCCGAAAACGCATTCCCCATTTCTTCACATAGCTCCCAAGAGACACGCATAGCCTGTGTGGCCTCCTGAGAGGTCGGAAGGTCTTTACGGAGAATTCGTTGAAAGGCCAGGAATGCGGGGTGATAGAGTATGATTGGCAGTCCTTGCCTATGTCGAGGGCGAAGACAGAGGATAGCTCCAGGACGTTCTTGGGAGATTGACCATCCGGATCTTTTGGAGAATGAGGATGGACTCGGTTTCACGAACACCGCCTTGGTAAAGGCTAAGACCATGTTAACGATGAAAAGCATGAACAGCGTGGAGCTACTATTACCTTTTACTTCCATAAGAAGATTTTCTCTGGTGAGCGGGATCGTTCTCCATGCTATTTTCGCTAGTTCTAGAGAGATTGTGAGCGCGATTGACTTGGAGCAGAAGGCCTACATACTGAGATTACTTATCATAGGGGACTTGCCATTATCCCAGTAAAGATCCTCATGCTCTTTAAAATATTCCGTGATTTCATTGATGCAAGGTTCCGCTTCCTCAAACGATTTAGCTTGAGTCATGAGTTTTGTGAGCATGCTGAGAACCCACGTCGAGTCAACAGCATGCTCATCTGGGAGCTTTCCATTAATCTTTCGTAGCAGCTCTTGAATTTTATATAATATGTCTTTTGATTCCGCGGAAGCGAAGGTTAGGGCACGTTCATCTAATGTTTCCTCTTCCCTCGTGCTTCTACGACGTTTATTTGGCTCGTAATCCTCATCAATACTGCTGCGTTTCGACATGTGGTGATAGTGAATTTTACGAGGTCAGGGTGAAGTGTGGCTGGTTCCGTGGGCTGGTCAAGGCTAATTCCAAGCGGTCTCATAGCCACCGCTCACCTGCACACTTGACTATAACCAAGCCATCCTGGCCAGATAATGGCTGCTTAGAATCCATAAAGAAAGCAAAAACTACTTAGACAATTGATCAAGAAAAGTCACAATTCGATTGAGTTCTTGGTCGTCCCCGAGGAACCGCCTCCCAGTTGTATTTAGATGCAAACATGCCTGCGGCCCAAATCACGATGCCTGTTGAGCCTGTTAGGACCAGTAAGACCTTCACCCACAACTAGGAATTCAGATAGGTTTATAACATAGAATGCATACCGTATAAAAGGTTGGAATCGTTTGTCTCTAGTCATCCGTTAGTCTCTCTTTTATGAGAAGGGACTGGCCTGCGACAATAATCCTGACTCAGGAGTAGTCTACGAACGCAACCTATAGATTCCTCGAAACTCGGTTCTCGCAAGTGAACACGACGTCGTCATGTCACTTTGACTAAATAGCTAAGCAACATATTTATTAAATTGTTGTACACCATCCATTTACAGATAACCCAGATAGGGATTTGAAGAGTCTATAAGGATCTTGCTTGATTCACTGTCTAGCTCATTACGTTGTTGGCACACTCACAGTCGATACGTTGTGTCTGGTTAAATAATCGCGGCTAAAGTCGAAACGCCGGACCTGTCACTCTGAAGCATGGTTGATGAACGCGCTCAACTTGGTTTGTCGACAGTATGAGAGTTGGCAGTGATCGTGGTTTTCAATCAATGTCGAGTGGAAGGCCCTAAGGCTTCAAGCTAGTGAGGGATAATAATGACCGGGGTACACTCAAGCTATGTGCCTCTGTCAGTGGCCATAAAATAAGCTAGAATGCTCCCGGGCGATCTTGAGATTCTGATCATTTGGACTTTCTCGAGAACGTAGACGGACTGGGCTTTATGAAGTGTGGCGGGTTTGGCTGGACTGATTTGGACCAATAATTTAACCCTGCAACGACGCCATGCCAAAGCTAAAGTTCGAGGAAGACAGTGGCAGGCAGACGAGTCATCAAAAGTATTTCTCTAACGTGTAGGCGTACGCAGACTCCAGCCCCCGGAGCACAGTCTAGCTAACTAGCCATGGATTGGATAACTGCCATTCACGCTGCGACGTGGCGATCCTGGCTCTGTATCCGAAACATGTACTGGGATTCCGATGAAGGGCATG